ATATTGAGGGTTGGCGGATTAGGCTCTAATTTTAGTGCCACTTATCTCTTCAGCTGCTTTTAAGAATTAGTTCCAAATAACAAAAAAAAAGTGTGAAAAATGTGAGGGGTTTTGGGGGGTGGATGAGAGGGTGGTTGGAGTTGGGTATTGTCAGGGAAGCAAGGCTGTGAAAAAGAGATTGTCTAGTGGCAGTGAGAGTTCAAATTTACATACAATTTACTCCAGTAGGAGAAAAAAAAAGGTTGGGCAGAGGGCAGTTGTTAAACGGAAATCTTTGAGGAGTTTTTTAATCGCATTTGCTCTCTCCGCGCAGTGGCTTTCTAAGATTGCAGCGGCAAATGGGTGTTGTCAAACAACCTGCGCAAAATCTAACACCTTTCATCTGTATCTCGTTCAGTTTTCCAGAAAGTGGAAGTTTACAGAAACGTAGATCCTGTGCGTTTGTGATTGAAGCTGATTGTGTAATGATGAATGAACACTTAGTCAGAAACTATGTGGATGTTTTAGAGGTCTAGTTTCTGGTTGACTTTCTGCAAGTCAGTTCTAGCCTAAACAAAATCACTACTCTGTTGTCACTATCAGAGTATCTGTTTCCATCGCACATGTATTTGGCTACTGTGACACGTCATCAATACTATACAACCGTCAATACCCCACTGGAGGCAGTTGCATTTAAAACAATGGTGGACACAGCATTCAGCACTTTTGAATAGCCGTCAGCTTATTGATTCTCCTTCAAGGCTGGCATCAATTCCACTCTGGACCGTCTTTTCTTTTTGTGACAGCGAAGGGCAAATGCATGTTAAAAAACTTGCTGTTCAGTTGAGTTGGGAGGGGGAGACCCACAAAAACCCCCACCATGATTTGCTCCTCTTGGAGAGGAGCCCTTTTCGTTGCCGGCAGTGTTTGGGTGTGATTATGTAATCCATCAGGGTATTACCATAAAAGGGAAGGGGGGCGGGGTGTCGAGGGGTTGGAAGGCAATAGCGGTGCTACTGATGATCATCGTCTAGCAACTGCCCAAGGGCAGGAATGTTTTGTGTGCCGATGTGTCCGACAGGTGGCTAGGAGACGCTAATTGATTAATGATCAGGGTGATATATGAGCCCCCGCGGCCAGCCTAAACATAAAGGCTCAGAGCACCGGTGTCGCCCTAAATCATTTCCAACCAGGCCAGTAAAGCTGAAACAGTTCCATCATTAGCATATGAAAGACCAATTGGGAGGGAGACTGCCTTCCAAGCCCTTTGTAGACCGCCTATTGTCAACATCCTGAGTCTGAATTAACAGGCTAGTATTTTATGCCAGATGAATAATGACAACAAAGATGGTTTTATGATTAAGGGTCACTCAGCACTAATGAATGATTAACACCGCCACAACCTAAGCCTTTGATATCATTTTGATTTCACCCTCGTTTCTCTGCCTGTGCGTGACTTTGACAAAAGCAGCAATCACCTAGATGATTATACACATAAAAAGAGCTACAGCCTCCTGCACTGTATCAGATGTAAACTGCTGTTATTATGTAACATATAGCATATTGTTAGAAAACTCAAAGTTCAGTGTTTTCATCATGTGTTACAATAACGATAATTCTTTACCAAGAGGTGAGATAATTTACATTCTGTATGGGTGTTTTTGCTCTGTACATCACAGAGCTGACATATTTTCCATTCAAGCAGTGTCAGATTCTTCTTGAATGATAGCACATTAGTGGAATTCACCTGCCCCCAGATGATCATATTTTGCACTCGGTGTTCCATATAACACTGGCATTGTCAGTGGATTAGTCTCTCTCTCTCTGTTTCCGTCTCTCTGCCTCTCTCTCTGCCTCTTCCTCTCACTCTTTCTCTCTCCGGTTATTTACCATTCCACAGGGGGCCTTGCGTGACCCTCTTCATTGTTTTGTTTGGATGACTCTGAAGGACAATGGCAGTCTGGAGCCTTGGCCGGCACTCAGTGTGAGTGAATCTGCATCTTTCCATTGGGAGTGCTGTCCTCCGATGTCAGGGGAGGTTATGTGATCTATGTGTGACTGAAGGGGGTTTCCACCACTGAGAGTCAGAGCCTCATGGAGAGGGGTTTTAAACTGTGTGAAAGCGCGTGTGTGTGTGTGTGTGTGTGTGTGCGCATGCACGCCGCCGGTGGAATTTTATCACGCGAGTTAAAACAACACATTGTGTCTGTTTCAATGTGAGCAGGCCTGCCATTCCCAAGTAACCTTGCATTTGGAGACTGCTGGCCGTACCCGCAATCAGTTTGTCACAACCAGTAAGTGAATGTCCCAGGGCCGATGAAGAATTTCACTTGAGAGTTGGACCGCCACCCATCAAACCTTTTCTAACTATAAGCACTTGAGCAACCCCAATGCTAGTCCCAGGTGTTGGTGCTAGGCCGTACAGTGAGGATTGGGTGACCCTGCCATATTATTGTTTCAGGCACTCCACTTGGTGAGACTGCAGGTCCCTGAGCAATCGAGGCCTTCTAGGTGCGGTAAATTGGGTTCCATTTTAAAAGCAGATGGATGTGTCTGGCAGGGCTCCTGCAGTGAGGACCTCTTCTTCTCCTTGTGTGTGTGTGTGTGTGTGTGTGTGTGTGTGTGTGTAGTGTGAAAGGTTGAGTGTCCGCAGTTGGTTTCGGCCATCAGCAGAGATAATGACGAGATTACCCCAGGCTACTCCTGTCCACTCTCATCAGTGTATAGGCTCCAGGCTCGCACATGCATGCTTTCATACATGTGCATAAACTCTGTCCTCATTTCAAGGTTCCTGCCCTTTGATTTAAATTAGGCTGTTCATGGTCTAGTGGACCAGTAAAAGCACAACATTCAGACACCAGTCCAATTGTAAAACAGGAAGCGAAGGCGTGTAACAAGGCAGGAAGTGAAAGGAGGAGTCATTCAGGGCCTGGGCACAGATCGGCTGATTGTCAGGTTGGAACAGGTATCAGAGGGAGCAGCACAGAGGCAGAGTCTTACACATTAAAGTTTTGTCAGCTGGAGTAACAAGTGGCATCTCATTACCTAGATCATATACTAGGCTGGTTAGCTTGCAGGTAAAGTTGTCACAAGCAATGCACCAGCACCATGCTTTGACTGGTAGGAGAGATGGTCTGGCGCAAAGCCACAGTTCACTTCTGAAATCCCATTAAAAGACATAGCAGTTGTAAACAAATGCAGGTGCGTCCCTTAATTGGCTTTATTATAAATGCAACAAAATGGACCTGAAATATTAGGGCATATTGAAGAAATGTTGAGTCACTGTTTAGTTTTCTAACTTTGGCAAACCCACACTGATATATTTTGGGGACAGTATAATCATCAGCCATGCCAGTGTCAACATGAGCACAGCAACACACATTTGTGAATTTTGTAATGTTTAATTTCTGCTCACTGTTGTCTGTTGCCCTTGAAGAGATGTTAATTCAAATCTGCGGTACTTTTTGAGGCTGTAGGTTGTGGTGTTGTATAGGATTATACAGTATTTTAAGGTGTATTTTGTCCTCTACCCTGCTTGTAAATGGGAAAATAAACTCACTTCAACATACAAGGTCATATTTGTTTCAGGGCTGATACGTGACATTGTATTTTAATAAGTGTTCGTGATTTAAGTGTCCACACCCTGTTGTACAATTATATTACATGATAATATATTACATGATGACGTTGAGTTGAGGTTTGCAGTGACCAATTGGAGTTGTGTGATGTCTTTGTAAAGATAAATGCAAAGATAAATCCTTATTTTTTGTAAAAATGCTGTATTTATATCTTCATATCCTCAGGAGCTTGTGATAACAGATCAGTGTGAAATTAATTTGCTGCTTGTAAAATGGCACCAAGGCCACTTTGGCCTGAAGGGAGGGGATTTTTTTAGTGACGGTATCATGACCCTTCTAAAGAGCAACCATTACCATGGCTGTAAGGAAATCTCTGTCTTGATAAAACTTGATGCTTTATTTGTTAACTGAAGTATAGAAGTGTTCTTCTTCACTGTGACAAGTGCGTAGTGAAGTGAAATAAATCCGAACAGACCACTGTTTTAAATGTCATTAGTTTCTCTTAAACACGCTTTTGGAAAAAACCCTGACCTAGTCCACAGGAGCTTAAGGGATCCATGTAGCCAGGATATGCTAAAAAGAGATAGTCTCTGTTTTCTCTTCAAAGAGAAAGGCAACTCACTGCTTTTGAATTCAAATATTACTGGCCATGACTGTGCAGTTTGGCATTTCTGTTTAATCCAAGAATTCCAACAAAGTGCCTTTTAATGTTTGCAAACCACTGTCCCGTCCCATCCAGTTGTTTTTAGTAAAAGGCAATTCCGCTAAACAGTTCCATGCTTTGTGTTGCACAAAGGTGGCATTTATCAGAGATCCTGAGTGCCATGTGACTCTTTAAATTTAGATCTGCAAGCAGTCATATTAGTGAACACTTCTGATACTTTAGCAGAAGAAATTGGAATTGTTCACACACTCGCTCCAAACCAGTGTTGCTAGATCCATGTCTGCGACAGCCATTCATCTGTGCTGCATATAGGCCTAACTGCCTTTTTATGAAGCAATGACACGCCACTTTATATTTGTCTCTGTCTTGGCAGTGAATGTGCCTCTGTGTCCCTATTTGTGCATCAGGCTGAGGGGATTTCTAGGCCGCCACCTGATTCACATTGCTGTAATTGAGTTGTAGCCATGAGCACTACTGTGCCTGTCTAGGCCCCAGGTAATTCACACACCACAAAAGCACTGTTTCACTCCACTTTTCACATGATGCCTGGTCTGGGGCACAAATGTAGTGAGTGAGAAAGTCCAATCTATTGGAAAAGGGTGGGGAGATTACAGGGAGTATGAGAGCGAAGGAAGGAAAAAGAGTGTAACAGTTTTCATGTAGTGAAGCAGTTCTGTGCCAGTGAGGCTAGGGAGTCACTGAGTCTGCAGCACGTGGATAAGGACCACAAAGCTGTTGGTTTCAAATATCTGTCTCTCTCTTTCTTCTTCTCTCCTCAGAGTTTAGGAGCTGCAATCGATTCGAGGGGAGATTTCCTTGGCCAAGGACAGGAAGATTGACATTTTTGGGGTAAGCCCGAATTTGTCGCTCCTGTCAACTCTGGTAATTGGACTTCTCCACGCTCCACACTTGTGTCTGTGGGACACTTGTGTCTTATTGCTCTCTATACAATAGCATTGTTCCTCATCATGTGACTGCTATGTTGGTTTTGTGGTGGTGAATGTGTAGCACATGATTCTTTTGTCTGTGTCTTCCCAATGTCGTATGTTATGCTCTTCACTGCCATTGCATTGTAAAGGTCACTGTACAGCTGAAGTATGTTAAGACCTGTTGAATCACACATACACATACACACACACACACACACACACACACACACACACACACAGAGATGCTGTTTAGAGGAGGTGCTCTATCTTCTGGCTTGCATGCCGCCAGTGGTAGGATCAAGTCTAATCCTGGGTCTGTTGCATCAGAGTTGGAGCTGAAAACAGGGAGATTTGCTCTGTCATAATCAAGCGACAAAGACCAAACAAAAACAGCCATTCATCATTAGGAACTGGCGTAAAAAACTTTTACGTAAATACAGACTGATTTATTGATTCTGATTTGTCTTCCTTGAATCGGCTGCAAAACACTGTGGCAGCAGATAGAATTGTAATCTACTGTTTATCCATTTCTGTCATTTTCCTTTATTTCATTTCATGTCGTTTTGCCACAATGTTGCCACAATGTTGCCACAAGCTGAAGAGGTCGGTCAGTTTCTCTCAGCCAATCACAGTCTCCCAGCAATGTGGCATAGTTTGTCCTGTCCTATTTGGCCCACAAACTTTTGTTTTCTTTTCCTGTCCTGCCCTGTCATGTCTCCTCCTGTCCTTTCCATCCCTTCCTTCTCCTGGGGAAAGGTGATCTCTTCCCACAGACAAACATCTTCCCTTATAGCAGCCTCCAAGCAAAAGCAAATAGAATGGTATGTATATCAAGATGCCAGCCAATACCCAAAAGAATGCTGACTCCCTTTACAAATCGCCTCCTTCATTGGATGCCCACACCAGATAGGGTGTGTGTTTTTGTGCACAAACACGGAAGACGTCCATGTGTCGTAACTGGGGATGACAAGTGGTCTGGCAGACAGTCTACTGTTAGCAACCACTTTGGCATATGGCTAGCCTGATGGACGAGACTAAGGCCGGCACTTCAGTCTTATATGTACAATGCTGAGTTCTTCTCTCTTCTTTCGTCTTTCCTCATCTTTTGATTGGTTTTCTTGGGTAAAGTTATCCCACTGTGTTGTCTCAGCTTTTGTGAGGTTAGAAACTGACAAAGGCAGCCAGGAAAACATTAAAGTAGGTCAGTTTTCTATGCACTCTCCTTTTAATTGTTTAGAGGGCATAAAACCTTATTCATTTCATCTGTTCATGATGGAACGTCACCCTTTTTGGAAATCATGTAATTATTCCATTAGCTGCTTCATTTATTTTGTAAACTGGCAGACGGCATATGCAGTACTTGTATGCACACTATGCAGTCATTTTCCAGTTTCTCTCCCTCTCCCTTCTCACTCTCTGTCTCTGAGTTAGCAGGTTTGGGGTTTTCATCTCCACGTAAAGCGGTACTTAACCCCCCATTCCCTGTCATGATTTAGATCCAGTCTCATACATGGGTTGGAAAGTGGTCCCAGCCGTTGATGTGGAACACATGCCTTTAATGATTCACACTCTGTGTGCGGTAGGTCGGTGACGGCTGCTGAGCCCGCTGCCTCTCCCTCTGTCTAGAATGGGACTCCTGTGTTTTTTTTTTCTCAGTGAACTCCACACATGGAAACCTCAGGGAAGTTGAAATCTGTTGTTTATGTACAGGTGTTCCTGTGTAATGGTGCTTCTTATTCTCCCTCGAAGCTGGACACAGTTGAAAAAATGATCTTTGTTGTTTAGCCAGACTTGTTTTTTTATCTTGCCACCATGCTACAGCAGCTTTTTTGTTCTTTCGTTGTAGTGTTTGGTGTGATTATATTGCACCCGGGGGCTTTCCCCTTCCACCTTCTGATTAACCAATTTGATCTGTCAGATTTACACCAACCACCAAATTTGGAGAGTTACGGTTGGGTAAACTACTTCAAGCTCAGTTGGTGTTGTGCGGCTGAGCACATTTATTGTAAGGCATTTGAATAGCAATATACTGTGTGGCATCTTACTTCCTCACCATCAGCAGAGTAGCAGAAGTGTGCTGCAAGTCTTGATGCTCAGTTGATTTAAGTTTTTGGTTGTAAGTGTGCGCTCCACCCACAGTGAAAAGAATTTTGAGACGACAAGACAGCATAAATCTCATACAAACAAATGCAGCCAGTGACTTTCTCCTGTGCATTCATCCACTCAGCCATTGCTTTACTTTTCAGTGTGTGCCAAAGCGGGTAGTTTCTGGCTATACAGTCAAAGAGCCAAATGAGCCAGCACGTGACAGGGAGAGGACACTGTCCCGCCATCCAAGCTGACATAAATGGCTTCCTGTTTTTGCTTTCAACCACTCCCCCCCAAACCCAGCCTTCATCTTTCCATCCATGCTTCCATCTTTAGTTTTTCCCCTTTTTTCTATCTATCCCCTATTCTGTCTCGCGTCCTGGGTCCCACGCCCCTTTGTATGGCCTTGTCTGACCTTTCCTTCCTCAGCTCACTCGCACATACGCACATCTCTCTATCTCCTACCATACACACTGACAGGACATCACACATGCGTGGTATGAAGACAAAAGTGTCCTTGACATAACTACAAGTGAGTGGCTCTTTCCTTTTTGCGTAGAGACAAACTTGCGGGTGGCCACAGCACCATAGATAGACTGACGCACTGGCTGACCTTGCTTGACAGAAGGTGCTGCTCATATGCAGTGGATGACTCAAGAAATAGCATACATGTATATGTCTGGCCAATGCATTTTGTTAATGTGCAGAAGTGATGCAGTCATTGTTTCACTGGCAGTAATGGATTGTACTGTTGTCATGATTCGAGGAAATGTTTGTGTGTGTTATTGGAAGTCAGAATGCTTTGCGCTTTTGCATTAGTGGGAGAGTTTTTTAGATTTAGCTCTTTTCCCACAAGTGCTTGACTTAATGGCCATGAGTTTACCAATCCAGTTCACTGTGTTTTTATGTGGTGGTGCTCAGTTTTTACAATGCCCATAATCCACAGCAAAACAAAGTGCCACTCGTAAAGCATTGCTTTAATGTAACAATGCCTTTGAGTTGTTTTATGTACTGTGTTTTGAGTAAATTGGTGTTAATCTGTTAGAGGTCATAAATTAAGCTTTCTGTTAGAACTTGTTTTATAAAATTTGGTGCTCTCAAAGCTGGTTGTGGAACAACAGAGTGAGGGCTTGAAGTATGGAATGCGTGTGTGTGTGTGTGAGAGAAAGAGAGTGCTGAAATTGATGAAGAGACCTCCCTGGATTTAAGTGTTGCTACAAAGCACCACCCGATACTGTATGCAGAAAACCCCAGCCACTCTAGGCAAGAGGGCGTAGCTAACCGTACTGAGTAGTCTGCAGTTCCTCTTTGGGGCGCCTCCTGACAGGAACTTGGCAGCAAGGAAACATAAACAAATTCCCTGTGGTGGGCTGGCAGGCTGGGCGGCGCGGTTCCCCTGTTACCATACATGCTCAGCGCATCACAGCTCGGCTCAGGCTAGCCTGCTCAGCTCAGCACCCATAAGCTATGAGAAATAGATCTTAAAGGGACAGGTGCCACCTGCACTCCTTAAAGGGGCATAGGCCCACTGTGTATTTTCAGTCTTGTTTCCAAACCCTTCCGTCTTCACAGTTGCATACACTGACACGTTCTCTTTCCACTGTATTGTTTCAGACTGACAGTGATGTGTGTTACTTTTGGTGCACTGTCCTCGTGGAGGTTTTCAACAATGCCATTTAAATGCTGCCTGGGGGAGGGATAATGTTGCCAGAAATGTTATTTATGCTGAGGTAGCAAAATGCTGTATCGATGATGATGTAACAATGGAGGTTGGGGAGATGGAAAGGAGGCCTTGCATTTCAGTATTGAAGAGAGAGCGGGCCAAACAATCATAATTCACACATGTGCAGTATTCCCACAACCAAAACATATTCAAACTAACATAACATGCATGCGCGCACACACATGCTTATTTATAAATATGTGTGCACATAAAGACTCGCATGTCTGCAGTTTTCTATTTCTCACTCTCCAAACACAGTGGTGTATTGTGCAGCCTGACCTGGTCCCTGTCCAAAGGCAAAGAGAACCCAGATTGCTGAAACAGAGGGCCCACTACTAACAGGCCGGCCAAGCTGTAGTTGTTATAGCCTGCTGTAGCCTTCCAAACCAATGGGGACTGCTAGCTGAGCTTAGTCACTGGGCGTGCAGCTGTGTGTGCGCACACATACATGCACTTTCTTTTTGATTAGCCACAGAAGGGCTTTTTGGACAGAACTTGCATGAGCTGACATGGCACCTCCGTGCAATTTCATAAGCGCTGGTAAAGGCATTTGCCTGACTTTTAATAGTCCTCTGTCTCCACATCATCATCCAAAAACACTATTTTCAACCATCCTATAATGGCGGTGCTAGTGGAGATCGGCCGCAGAAAAGAGGGCAATGGCGAGTAGGAGGAGACCCTTCTCCTCCTCCAACTCCTTCTAGTAGGATGAAATGTGGTGAATAGTAAATTTCTTTTTCACTTTTTTTCCTGGAGTGGTGATGGAGGAAAGAGCCAGCTCACAGTGTGCCTCATTGGTTTCAGTCGCCTGCCTGACTGGCTTATCTGTGTGTACTTTCATGTGCTTAGTGCCTGCATGAGTGTGGTATAGCTGGGTGGAGGGCTGGATTTTCAATGTTTAGATATTGGAGTTTGAATGTTTGGCAATTGATTTTTGAAAATATCACAGATATAGCATTTTGGAAGTAAACAGATCCTTAAATGTTTTTTTTTTCAAAGTGACATTTGTATAACCCAGCTAATCTAAATACAGGACACCACTGACTACATCAAGTTCCAGGCTAAATCAACTGAGCTCCATCCCACAAGTCATTTCACCTGTGCAACTG